GAATTTCGAAAAACTCCAACAGGTCATCAGCAGTGTGTACTTCGGCTGTCAGTCAGCTCGACCGCATGAACTCTTTAGACGGCAGTCAGCAGAAGTAGGAAGGCGTCATGGCCTAGCCTTAACCGTGCTGAAACAGCGGTTCTCAACACTGGGAAGAAGAACAGATCGGTTCGACCGTTCTGCGGGCCATGACCCTCGGTGGTGAATGTTGGTTTGCTATTAAAGCTGAGGAGATCAAAGTGATGGTCACACGAGGAGCGATCGAAGCTGAGGATGGCCGAGTCCACAAATTCTGTGCATTGATTAACACCAGAATAACGGGCTTGATTTTCTGCCTTTTCGTGGCCTTTTCAAGAGAAGATGAACCGGACATTTGGCTCGTCTGAGAGACATTCGACGAACAGCGTTACAGGTTACGTTATTCGAATTACAGGCTGGATTCCGCTGAACCACTAACATGCACTCGGTCAGGCAAGAACCCGATCGGCTGATCCGATGTTCAGGTTGCTATGCCGGCGCCGGAGGCAAAAAGCGGAACACAGAGAGGGCAGGAGGAGAGGGGGGTCGAGTTGCGTTTATTAATGGCGCATTGGTAATGAGGACTAGTCGGATATCGCGTCGGATACGTACATGCAGACGGCGTCACTATAGCCTGTGGGCAGCTGCTTTCTTTCTTTGCATGTAGTTTTGATTTTTTGGCCTGCGACTAGTTCAAACTGGAACACTGCCGTACTGCCATAGAAAATGTTCTTACAAGTCATTGCGCTGAACCGGGTTGTGCGGCAGTCACAAAGCTGCACCTGGTGCCCACTGTGTTTCAGCATCTGGAGTTGGTCGATGCGCAGCAGCATCTCAGTGTCGGCTGAAACGACATGTTCGTGGTACCAGTGGAATATTTGGTTATAGCGAGGTATATGAGGAGGGACATGCTATACCATAAGGATTGTTTTTCAACCCATACGCATCAATAAATGACGTCTGTTTCATAATCGACGAAGATTGCTTTACACCAGTTCTGTTTTAGGTGATTGAGTTAGCAATGGCTGCTGGCACGTGATTTTTTGACTGCGAGTCCGGCGCAAGAGGTGAAACTGACGAAATGTGATCGTCTGATTTGGACCAGTTTTAAATTAAACGGGTGTTTAAGGCAGAGTTGTTTGTTGGTCTGATTCAGGTGATGTGTGATCCGCAACAGACGTTGCTTCATTTTTCCCTTACAAGCAGGAGTTAGTCTAGCAGTGGTCGACGACGGCTTTTGTGTATTATATTTATTGGTAGAAAAAAATTAATTTGGAAAAACAATGAAATCCTGAATGTTTCAACTCAGTTTCTTATCAGACAACGTATAAGTTTGCCAAGATCAGGTTTTCCGGTATATTGTACTGTCTACTCGCTCTTAATTGCCCAGGGAAGCATTTAAGCATTTTATGATAACCATGCCTTCTTGGTATTTGAACATCTACAGCACCAGATGTATCTCGCATCAGCCATCTCACGTTCTACTTCATCATAAACCACCTTTCAAGAACTGGTTGCTCTTATGATATATGCTATCTCATAAAATGTTTGTTGTTTTGAATTTTTAATCGCACTTCGAGACTTGCAATAGATCATTCACTGATTGGTTCGTTAATTCTTTTGTTCATTACTTTATTCCTTTACTCCTTCGTTCTCGAGGCTTCATATTCTACTGTGTTTCAATGGCATTTGAAAATGGTTAACGGGGGGCATTGACGATCAATGAAAGGGCGCAACAGTGACCGGCTTTTTCGGTACAGTTCATTTTTACGAATTCCTGAAAGAACTGTGAAACGTATGTGCGACGCTTGACTGCGTCTACATGACACAAGGGTCAGGAAGTACACAGACACGTACATAAGTACCTTATAGTCAGTCAACAAGCAGTAGTAAACAAAGATGGCCATTCTGTGGTGTTCGTTACTGTCAAGGGGCCAAGGGGTCTGCCGGATTGGACGTTTTCTTCGTGGTCATGTGGCAGCTGGCCAGCCAAATATTAGGTATAGGTGGTTCCTACCCGTTCGTCTGTCATGGGCAAATCAGCCTCGATGGTCAAGGCTATTTCTTCCTGGTCGTATCCCCGGAACGCCAACGCGTGCAAACAGTTTGAGCACCGCTGGTTCTTTCAAACCCGTTTCTTCTGCAGATCAACGATCCACCAACCACACACGGAGAGTAAAGAGTCCGCCACATTTGCAGTGAACTGATATGACCCCCGAGGAAAATGATGAAGTTAATAGAGCGATCTGTCGTTTTAAATCAGTATTTTTCATTGTTACACAATACCTATCCGGATTCAGACGGTACAAGAATCTTGTTGAATTCAGGGCAGGATCCGTCTTTAGTCTCATCGCCAGTGGCTTGGTTAAATAGGCCGTACTTGTGCACGTGTCGAATGACCATATCTCGTCGATATTGGGTTTGTTGCCTGAGTTGCTAGATTGCGGTGGGGGGGGGGCATTAGTTGGTAGTCCTAAGCACTGTTGCGCACAGATATTGTGTCTGTGTTTAGACGTCGATGTGGGTTCTGTTGCAGTAACACCGACCTAGCAGGATAATTTTGAAAAAAAATACCTACATTGAGTCACTAATTCAGTTCGAAATTACTTAAATGTCTCCAATAAACATGACAAGTTTGCGTTTCTCAATCGATAGCGCGAAAACAAAATGCTTGCAGAAACTATATTTTAAGCCCAAACTCTAGATCCACCGCATTCTTCTTTTGAAGGTCACAGACTTATTGTAAAAGTACCAATAGGTACTGTAATAGTGTAATGATTACTGAAAAAACCCGAACTTATTTGAACGTTGTTTGATTAAATAAATCAAAAAAGTGCATAAATTAAAATGGGTGGATGGTAAAAATTATATCTGTACACAGAAACAGAATCCGATATATTTTTTGCGTATAAATATGCCTACGGATCTTGGCATATTTGCAGGAGTCTGAGAAGGCTCTTGTTCGGTCCTGCCTAGTGATGCGGTTCTGCATCCATGCGCCGCAGGTGCTCAAATGTCATGGAACTGTAGCCTGCTTAAATGGTCCCCTAGGCCACTTGAAGCAAGGGGTCGGTGCTTATGCCGCTTCAGTCCGGTATCGAAAATTTAAAAGTAATAAAAATGGTTTTTGTCCAAATGTTTCTAAGCAACTTCGACCTATCGGGTAGGTGAAATTTTCTCATCATTCTGACAACTCAAGAAACTTACATAATCCAAATGCTTGGCCTTATATACGGCAAATAATTATTAGCATCGGATGTTAGGTTATTTCAAATAAATTCATGGTCGCTTTATTTGTGAACAGGTAAACGGTCTTTCTAACTTGATCTTTGTGGCCCTGAGTCCGTACCTTTGTTGAAAGCAAAAAGCCTAGTTATTCCCAGCAAGAGTTGCGGGATTTTCGCAGTTATATGCTACTTATGCTATTCGTAAATCAATCAATCTGCGTGACCCCTTGGCTTAGGCCAAGTAACAACCGAAATGCTGGATTGCAGCAAACGGCTTACCACGGTGGAATGCATGCTTCTTAGTGGCTTCGATAGCCGTCATAGCTTGTAGTAAACCCTGCAACCGTGGCAGACTAGACTAGAAGAGGAATTCTGTGATCAGCCACCCAAATGGAGGTCTAGCCCCTTCTCTGTGCATTCCTGAAGAAGGCATGATGCTAATCTTTTCGTCTGTCGACCGTCCGGTGAACTGCGGGGCAAGAAAGGAAAGTACAGTCTAAGCGTTGGAACCTCAATCTGTTTTACTTTTCATTACTGGGCGCCATTC